AAGATTAATAAAAGGAGTTTTGCAAAATAAGGCATCTTGCTGGAAGAAGCAGGAGCCGGGCACTCTGCACTCCAGTAACCTCCTGTAGTACAAGTCCCCCCGGGTTTAAACATTGAATCAACTCGAACGCCGGCGTCGCTTGTCCCTCGGTGGAAACGCTGCTTTCCCGGCGTGATGCTTTTGACAGGGCTTTCAAGGGCTCCTCACTCAAAAGCTTTTCCCTCATCACCGCTTTAATGATTGGCCATTACTCATGAAGTTTTGCCTCACCAAACGTTTCCACTGGGTCCTAAAGGATATTTACTAAAGTCATTATGTAAAAACGCACAATTCCGCGTGCCGGCTTTTTGCTCAATCCCCTAATCTCAGGACAGTGCTATCCTCCTGCCAGACTGTGTAAAACCGGGCTGTCCCTTTTCATTAGGCTTTCCAGATTTTCTGTTCCTTTGCATGGCTTTTTTTTTTCCCCCCCATACTGGAAATTGCCTGTGCCGCGTTTGAGACATAGATGTCATTGTAAAATGTATGTATTTGGATGGTTATGAAGCATTTTCTGATCTGTCTGGCTCTTTACGCTGTTGGAAACAAAAGATCAGCTATTTCCTCTGAAAGTGATGACTTTATTTACGGTTAACTTTTAAAGGAAAATTAAAATACATTATCTATACATGCAACCAAATCTTTACATAAATCACGTCACCGTTAATATTTATTTTTCAAACAGGTGTTTGCACGACCAGGCATTTTAACTTTTATTGAAAAAGACTGAAATTAAAACAAAAAGCTACAAAGCAGCTACTTCTTTAATCACAAAGAAGAGGTGGCTTCCAGAAACCATTTGAAGCTTTTCTCACTGCCTCTTTGCAGAAAATGTAACTGCTTTGCTAATAGCCAGCATGTGGTACAGGTGTGAGAGCAAAAGTTTGCTTGGTACAGCAGTGAGTCTCTAGGAAAAAAAAAAAAAAGCACTTTCAGAGCAAAACTTTGAGAGGAGCAAAAGAGTCAAAAAACACCAAAACTGTCTCTGAGAGCTCTTTGAAAACTCTTCTGTGAACCCAGGTTTGCAGTACTCGATTAGAACAGGTCACCAGATAAACTAGGAAACACAGTATTTTTATTTTAGAGGCTACAGGATCTTGAGAGGCTTTGGGGGGGGGGGGGGGGGGGGGGGGGGG